GCTCCGTCTTGCTCGCAAGACGAGGCAGCATCATCGCCCTACAACCAGATTTTCATGGGTCGTGGGACAAGAGCAGACGGAACAGAACCATTGCCCCACGTGTACCACCAGATTTTCGTGGGCCCGCCATCATCACCGTCACTCCCGCCTCTCCAGAACGACCAAGGCTCCCCCCCCTAGATCTCCGTAGATCCGTATCTAGCGCTGAGTTTACCTAACAGGGGTACTCCCGCCATCATCACCGTCACTCCCGCCTCTCCAGAACGACCAAGGCTCTGTGCTGAATGAGGTGTTGCTCGAAACTCAGCTCTTGCATCATGTCTTGGATACGAAAAGCCACATGCATCATTGCTAGGGGTGTGCTTGTAGAAGGGCGAACCACTTTCTGCCGGGCATGGGCCAGCGTGCCATACCGTGTACGACACAAGATAACGCCCCCCCCTGGACCGCTTTTCAAAGCTCGGTTTATCAACAGCAGGAAGAGTGACAGCACCGAAAACGGCGCCGTTGAAGCCTTCTCGTCGAGAGCTTTCTGAAAATGTATCGTGTTGTTTGTGCATCCTCTTCGCTGTGCTGTGATAGAGCTTTGAAAATCGGTCCAGGGTGTGTGTTATCTTGTGTGTCGTTTACGGTACTCGTCACTAACCAGGGTCTAGAGCCCACCAATCTCTCTGACGATAACACCTCCTACCAAACAACGCAATAGTCCATGCAGTTTTTTTTAGGACTCGAACATATTGATAAAGTATACCTTGGTAGAAGTTACTACGTGAGGGTTTCGGTCTGCGTGCCCCCTGCCAGGTGTTTTTTCGTATAATAGCAGTACTGGTCCCGGTATAGTGCCGGTCGAATAATGTCGGTGAGACCGTGACACCGGTGGAATATTCAAAATTGTTTCACACTCGGAATAGTGCCGGTTGCCCCGCTATATTGCCGGTGAAATAGGCTGGATCGCACCGGCATCATGCCGGGGCCACTGCTGCAAGCTTTACTTCCCTTTGCGTAGGCAGTCCTAACAACGCCCCTCCAATCGGTGATACCGATAGGATAGACAGACTGGGGGAAACACTTTTGAGCCACCTTTGGCAAAGTGGGAAGGAACGATTGACCATCGGTGATCGGTCCTGTGGGAACGACGCTTCCTCCGTCGTCTCGAAGATGCGTGGTCAATGGTCTAACCGCTAAGGCACGCAAAACATGAGAGTACACCCTCCCCCCCCACCATCCCATACTCCAGGTGTCGCTGATGCTGGAGGAAGGCTTTGCGGCAGCAGCGGCCCTCAATACCATGGGCTTCCCGGTGGGGGTGCAGCTAGCCTCGAGGCTCGTGCCTGACGTCACGCACTTCCTGGCCTCCTACATCGACAGCGTGAGTAGGTGGATGGGTGGATGGACATGCAGGGTCATGTCCAGTCGTACAGTTTGCCTCGTGATTCTACTAACTTCTGGGCAACGTCCGCAGTGACATCTGTGTGCTAACATGACAGGCTCAATTATTTGGTATCTTAGGGTTAGGGTTCGCTCCTTTTGATTGCAGGTTTTAGACTAATACCTAATGGATTCTACTCGAAAGGGACCCCCCCCCCCGACCCCACACCCATCCCCTTTTCCCACTCTTACGCCCCCCTTTGTTTTCTAGCCACGTATGTGTATATCTGTTTGTTTTCTTTTTCATGCATGATGCATTTGTGCAGGTGAAGGACAACCTGGTGGTCGCTATTCGAAAAGGAACCACGGCCGCACACCTACCCACCTCCTTCCCGGTCTCCCCCCCCCCCCCCCTGTTTTTCTTGAGACGTATGGATTGTTTGTGTTTTCATGCAGGATGCTTACGTATTTTTGGAGGTTAAAGACAACCTGGTGGATCCTATTCGAAAGGAGTGACCCCCCCTCTCCACTCTTTTGTCCCCCTGTTTTTTTACGCTTAACTTGTGGCTGTTGTCTTTTCATGCAATATGTGTTTTTGCAGGTCAAAGACAACCTGGTGGATGCTATTCGAAAGGACCCCTTCGTGGGCGTTTCTTGCCCGCTGGTTCGGCCGGAGGCTCTTTGCGTCGGCACGCAAGAGGAGGAAGACCAACAGGTACCTATCCCGCCGCGTTTCTCCAATGGTGTCGTTGTAGCTCACTCCAATCGGTCTCTCCTCACCCCACCGTTGTATCGTCGATCTCACCCAGTTTGGTAGTCAGTCTTTCTCACTCCGCTATAATATCTTCTGAGTTTGGATATTATTATCGTACGATCGAACCCAAATTGGTTGTGAGTCTTGTCTCACCTCACTACCGTTTATAGCTCAGCCCCTGAAGCATCTTCCACTGAGTGCCAACCCAAATCGAGAAACTCGAGACCGACGTCTTCAAACACCCAGTGCTAGTCACAACTCTCGTGTAACCCCTCCCCAGTCTCATCCGCGTTGCCCCCACCGAAACTGTGGGGAAAACGAGGTTGGTCACGTAATACTCGTAGAATTCGTTGATCAGTTGTCCGGACTCGTTGTAGATGTTCGCGTTGCTAACTTTTCGGCGCTCGTCGTTGGTGTGTGGATAGGGATTGAGTCGTTGAGTAGTTTCAAGAAACAATTACGTTGAATTTATCGGAACCGTTTGTTCTCACCCTGACTGATGGGGACTGCAGAAGAGAATAATTCATTGTGTTTCTTGCATGAAATGATAAAAGAGAATTTGAACGCGATCGGCGGTTGTTCCCTCGTTGACTGGTGGCACTTGTCTATCTGTGGATACGACTATCATATAGTTCGCTGTGCTTCTTCCATGGACAAAAATAAAAGAACCGCGACCGACCGTGGCTCTCTCGCTGACTGGACGGCAAATTTCTGGCTGTGGATAACTAAACACTTCGTTGTGCTACTGTTGTGAAAATAAAAATAAAACGGAACCGTTGTCCAGTCGCCGGCGGATGACACTCATCTATCTGTAGATGAGACAACAATTCGTTCTTTTTCTTTGAACCCAGTTTGAAACCGCGGCCGACCGTTGTTCTCTCGCTGACTGACGGCACGAATCTATCTGTGGATGAGTGCACAATTTCGTCGTGCTTCTTTTGTGAACAAAAAAGGAAGAAGAAACCAGAACCGTTGTTCGCCCGCTGACCGATGGCGCTTCTCTAGGGAGGGATCAATTCGTTGAATTTTTGACGAAAAGTTGAAAACGAAACGGCGAAAGAAGTCTCTCCGTGGATCAGAATCGTTCGTTGTTTTTTCTTCCCAAAACCCAGAAAAGAAACAGCGACCAACCTTTGTTCTCTTTACTGCCTGCGTGCACCTATCCATCCGTGCAATGGAGAATATTGTCGTTCTGTTGGCCACTCGCTCACTGATAGCACCTATCCATCCGTGCAATGGAGAATATTGTCGCTCTGTTGGCCACTCGCTCACTGATAGCATCTGTCCATCCGTGCAATGGAGAATATTGTCGTTCTGTTGGCCACTCGCTCACTGATAGCACCTATCCATCCGTGCAATGGAGAATATTGTCGCTCTGTTGGCCACTCGCTCACTGATAGCATCTGTCCATCCGTGCAATGGAGAATATTGTCGTTCTGTTGGCCACTCGCTCACTGATAGCATCTGTCCATCCGTGCAATGGAGAATATTGTCGTTCTGTTGGCCACTCGCTCACTGATAGCATCTGTCCATCCGTGCAATGGAGAATATTGTCGTTCTGTTGGCCACTCGCTCACTGATAGCACCTATCCATCCGTGCAATGGAGAATATTGTCGCTCTGTTGGCCACTCGCTCACTGATAGCATCTGTCCATCCGTGCAATGGAGAATATTGTCGTTCTGTTGGCCACTCGCTCACTGATAGCATCTATCCATCCGTGCAATGGAGAATATTGTCGTTCTGTTGGCCACTCGCTCACTGATAGCATCTGTCCATCCGTGCAATGGAGAATATTGTCGTTCTGTTGGCCACTCGCTCACTGATAGCATCTGTCCATCCGTGCAATGGAGAATATTGTCGTTCTGTTGGCCACTCGCTCACTGATAGCATCTATCCATCCGTGCAATGGAGAATATTGTCGTTCTGTTGGCCACTCGCTCACTGATAGCATCTGTCCATCCGTGCAATGGAGAATATTGTCGTTCTGTTGGCCACTCGCTCACTGATAGCATCTGTCCATCCGTGCGGTGAAGACTATGATTAGTTTGTTGTCTTCTCGGAAAATAACAATACGTCGGAAACGCAATCTGTGCGGTGAGACTACTATTAGTTTGTGTTTCTCAGAAAAGAACAATACAACGGAAACGCTTTCTGTGGGTAATACTACCAATTCTTTTGTGTTTCTCAGAAAATAACAATTAAACGGATACGCCGTTTTTGTCGCTTTCCGACGGCAGGCGAAGCGGGCTCAGCTGACCTCAAGCGCGAGGATTCTTGTCCTCGAGCTGCGGGACATCTTGGACTACGCGCTGGTGTTGCTGGAACCGCCGCCGCCCGAGCCGGAGGCGTTTTCGGCCGAGGATGCGGGGGTGTCATCCCCTGGTTCCGTCGAAGAGGAACCTCCCGAGGTGGGAGGCGATGACGGTCTTGGTTTTTGTTCTTTTTATTTCTTCTGTTCTCTGTTGTTGCTTTTCGGGTGGATAGAGGTTTGTAGAGACTGCCGCGTGTTTAGCTTTCGTCCTCTTTTGTTGATTCTCGTCGCTTTTGTTGCTTTTGGGTGAACAGGTTTTGAAAGGCTGAATTATGTTTGGTTTTCGCTAGCTTATTTTTTCCTTCTCTGGTTTTACTTTTCGGGTGATGGTAGCGTTTAGGACCGCCTGGTGTTTGGTTCTTTGCTTGTTTGCTGTCCTCTGTTCCGTCTTGTTGGGTGGGTAGACAGTAGCGAAGAGTGACTCATGTCTGGTTCTTGGATCTGGTTCTCTCTGTTGGTTCCTTTGGGTCATTTTTAGAGACTGACTGTGTGTTTGCGTGTCTTCGTCCAAATGACGCACACTTTTTGGTGTCCATTTGATGAATCATCCGGTGCAGAAGTGATCCCCACAGCGGTTTCATGTTTGTTTTTCTTCAGGCGATGTCATACTACACTCGAGGCGAGTTCCTCAAGCGGAAGCCGTTTTCCGATACTCCGCTGCTCTGAGTTTTTTCTGATATCCCCACGGCCATGTCGTGTTTTCGTGTCAGATGGCGCCGTTCTACATTCCGGACGATTATGTGGAGCAGCAATGGGTTTTCCGATAATCCACTGCGCATGCTTTCTGTTATTTCCACGCCGGTTTCGTGTTTTCTTTTGTTCAGGCGGCTTCGTACTACACTCGAGACGAGTTCCTCGAGCTGGAGCCTGTGATCGTCACCAGCCTCGACAAGCTCTTGCGAACGTACCTCAAGGTTTGTTGAATCCTAAGCGTTTTTGTTGTTGCCGCTTTTTGAACAAGATTGTGCGGACGGACCTAAAAGGTTCACACCCTGTACAACTTTAACTAATAACTAACTAAGTTAGTTGTTTGCCAGACAACTACCGGCTAGTTGTTCGTAAACACCTAGGTGCGCGCGCTCCTGGAAGAGTAGTCATCTACAGCCAACTAGGTGCGCACGCTCCTGGAATAGTAGTCATCTACAGCCAACTAGGTGCGCACGCTCCTGGGAGAGTAGTCATCTACAGCCAACTAGGTGCGCACCCTCCTGGAAGAGTAGGTGTCTGCAGCCAACTAGGTGCGCACGCTCCTGAAAGAGTAGTCATCTACATTCAACTAGGTGCGCACCCTCCTGAAAGAGTAGGTGTCTGCAGCCAACTAGGTGCGCACCCTCCTGGAAGAGTAGGTGTCTACAGCCAACTAGGTGCGCACCCTCCTGGAAGAGTAGGTGTCCGCAGCCAACTAGGTGCGGACCCTCCTGGAAGAGTAGGTGTCTGCAGCCAACTAGGTGCTCGGGCAGTTGTCAATATAGAACATGTTCACGTTGTTTGTTGCCCGGGCAATTGTCAACCACAGAATCGCACACACTAACACCCAAACACAGACAGACACGGGCAGATGTCAAAATAGAACACTACAATATCGCATGCGTCACGCACACACACACAGACAGGCTCACTACCCAGGTGTAAATAGAACAATTTGTTGCTGTCGGTACAGCAGGGCACTACCGCACCCCACGTACTCGCACTCACAGATACACACGAACGGGCAGGTGTCAATATAGAACAGTTAGCTGCCGGCGCAGCAGGGGACTACTGCAGACCACGCAGTCGCACACACAGATACACACGGACGGGCAGGTATCAACAGTCAATACAGAACAGCTGCCGGCGCAGTAGACTACCACCGCACACCACGCACTCTCTCACACACACAACACACCACCCAACGAGCGAACAAGTGCACCACATGGCGGCGGCTGTTCCACCAGCCGACCCTACACCAGCACCACCAGCAGATGGTGGCCAGCAAACAGACGGAGGGATTGGTTCGTCGGAAGAAGAGGCAGTGACGGTCGATGATGCATGTTCAATTAGTTTTTTTCACAACCCAGCATACTATAAGTGGATGTTGTTTGGCAGGTCTCCCTCGCATAGGAGAGAGCTCCCGGTCATCTGGCTGGGTTGGCGTGTCATGCTCGCGGATCATCACACAGCATGCTTGCGTTTGTTGTGGTTCGTTTTACCAGGAATAGATCGATAAAGGTTCACAAGGTGTTAAGGTTTGGCTGATCTTCCTCGTCTGCACCCCTTTCTGCGCAGAAACGACCTCTCACTGCTACTACTACTACTGTTAATGCGTTCTCCTTGAAATCCAGGACAGACTATCAACTCTAACTAATAAGCCAGCTAAGTTAGTTGTTAGACAGACAACCACCGGCTAGTGGTTCGTAAACACCTAGGTGCGCACGATTCTGGAAGAGTAGTCATCTACAGCCAACTAGGTGCGCACTCTCCTGGAATAGTAGTCATCTACAGCCAACTAGGTGCGCACTCTCCTGAAAGAGTAGTCATCTACAGCCAACTAGGTGCGCACTCTCCTGAAAGAGTAGGTGTCTGCAGCCAACTAGGTGCGCACGCTCCTGGAAGAGTAGTCATCTACAGCCAACTAGGTGCGCACACTCCTGAAAGAGTAGGTGTCTACAGCCAACTAGGTGCGCACCCTCCTGAAAGAGTAGGTGTCTACAGCCAACTAGGTGCGCACCCTCCTGGAAGAGTAGGTGTCTGCAGTCAACTAGGTGCGCACACTCCTGGAAGAGTAGGTGTCTACAGCCAACTAGGTGCTCACAAATCTGAAACAGTAGGTGTCTGCAGCCAACTAGGTGCGCACACTCCTGGAAGAGTAGTTGTCTGGCAAATAACTACCACCTAAAGTAGTTGTACAGGGTGTGAAAAGGTTGGTGAAATGCGGAGCGTTTTTGTTGTTGTCGCTTTTGGACAAGGTTTTGCGAACGTACTAGTCTAACCCTCACCCAATGAGTCTAGCGAGACGGGTTGCTCTCGACCTATGTAGACAAGGCCTTGTTGCTGTTACCGCCGCTGATACGGTCTGTCCGTCGATAATGAATGCCGAACGGTTTTGACGGAAATGTACGCCGCATCAAGCTGCGCGGAGAATACCACCCGCTACGCACGAACAACTTTCTTTGGTAAAAGTTTCGCCCGTGAAGCCTTCAGGCATTCTCGGACTAAGTTACTCTATGTAGAGGCATTCGTTCACTCCATGTAGCGATGGCACTGAGGCTTGTGTCTGATGAATTGACGGGACGGATGTTTTGAGCAGGAAACGCTCGCTTGCATGAGGGCCAGGAGGGACGAGCTCTCCTCGAACCAGAGCGTGGCGGTGGTGAACAACCTGGCGGAGATCGGGGGGAGCTACGTGCCCCTTCTGGCGGCGTGGTGCGCGCAGCTTCTTCCTGAGATCGCGAACGAGGAAGAGGTCGGTGTTGTTGTTTTTGTTGTTGTTGCTGTTCATCATGTGTTGCTTGTCTCCTGTAGTGATGTACTCCGTAGTTTGTTGTTGTCATCGTTGCTGTTGTTGTCATCTTTGCTGCTGCCGTTGCTGCTGCTGCTGTTGCGATCATGTTGCCGCTGTCTCTTACCTCTCTTTCCCTCTCGCTCTTGCTCACTCACTCTCTCCTCTCTCACTCTGTGTTCATCTCTCCGCCCCTCCCTCACTCTCTGTCACCTTCTTCTCTGTTTCACCATATCCCTGTCTCTCGTGCACTCTCTCTCCGTTTCTCTCCCCCTCCCCCTCTCCCTCCTCCCCTCTCCCCCCCCCCCCCCCCCCCCCCCCCTCCTTTTTTTTCTCCCCCCCCCCCCCCCCCCCCCCCCCCCCCCCCCCCCCCCTCCCCCCCCCCCC